TGGAGCTCTAGCAAGCTATACTTGGGGCTGAGTGTTCCTATTTTTCCTCTGCAAAAAGGGGCTCAAAACAGCTTACACAACATGAAAACATAAGAAAAATAAATAATAATTAAAACAGATTAACAAGGTAATGGGAGATGCATAAAAAATAATTTAAAGACTGATTCTAAATCTCCCCAGTCTTCCTGGAATATGACCGAAAGGATCTATCATCAGCATTGTGATGAAAACCCTCTCCTATCCATGAGTGATCTTTCCCATGAGATTCCTGTAGACATAGAAAACATAGACTTAAAAGCAATCTCTGTGGGATCCCTTGGATCAAAAAAGCCAAGGTTAAGCAAGAGTGCTCCATCACCACTTTATAAACCTTATTGAGTAAGTCAGCAGGTAGCCTCCCATGTTTCCCAAGACAAAGAGGGAGGTACTTTGTAGCCATACTTCTTTAGAATGTTCTATATACCTTAGGATGCTTGGGTGGGATGTGCTAGGATGGGATGCAGGAGGTTTATGAGTCCTACTGTGAGCAACTGGTTCACTTTCATTGGCAGTGAGTGTGCCCTTGGTCTCCAGTGTGGCAAGACCTGTTATTGCAGCCCACTTTGCAGCAGTGGAGTTGGTGTTTCTGATATGTAACTGACATCTGCTGCAGAGCATGTATAAAGTTTCTGAGAGGACATGTCTTATCCTTCTGCCTTTCCTGCTTTGCTCTTTGACTTGGCATTCATTGTTTGTTACATAATATATGGTCCTACATGACCTATCCTCAGACTTCTCCATTATCAAGTTCCTATTTGTCAGCTCCGGAGACATGGAGAACAAGTAATATGGCTCTGTATTGACCAACTTGATATTTGAATTATGTTTCCTTGGACAGAGCTAAAACCAATATTGTACAAGTGAACACTTACCCACACAGTAGGAGTTCCTCTTCCCCTTTCCCACACACCCCAGATTTGCTCCAAAGGATCCTGTGCCCCCTGTAGCATGTTTGAAAGCTGCACAAGAAGCTACAGTGGCAGAGAAGTAATTAGGTTTGCTTGGAGTGTGTGTGCCACTGGCAGAAGTACACAAATTGTTATAAGTCCATTTGCTCCTGGTATTGTGTTTTGATTTGCTGCTGGATTAGTTTAGGTCCTATCCCTTATGGCTGAAGAGGGGCAAGGGCAGGCTTCTCAGGCTCTTCACTGATTCTCATCATTGCAAGTTTACTTAAGACAATTATGTAGCTGTTGCAGGGAAAGATGGATCTAATATGGGAGGAGAATAGGATACCAACTTAAATTGGCATCTCTTTTCTGTCCTAATACTTCACCTTCCAGCTCTTACACTGTCATAGTATAGTAGCATGGCAGTTACACTGACTTATATTTATGAAGGTGTAATTACATCACAATGCCATCATAACAGCTCTTCACCAGCATCACTTGGAAACAGACTAGCATAAGGGGTTTAGCAGCCTATCCTTGTTCAGTTGCTTTAACACAGTGATAGGATTGCACCATAAGTAGTTTAGCATTTCCAAATGTAAAGGTTTCAAGTGATGGGGGTCCAGTCATGGATTTCTGTCTCATCTAATTAGGCACTTTCATGAACAGAGCAAGCACAGTGAATTCTGAAATGCAGAAGAAACCAAAATTCCTTCAGATCTCACTGTTCTTATATTTCCAATATTGAGCAGTTTATCTGTTACTTTTTGATGCATTTTTATATTACCAACAAATATTATAAATATAAAGGCACAGTTTTCATAGCATTAACTGTATCACTCCAGATTGCAGATGGGAGGGAGCATACTTGAATATTTTCCCACATTAACAAAAGAAACCCTATAGGAACATAGGAAGTTGTCTTTTATCAGATCGGACTATCCATCTAAATCAGCAGGGAAGGACTACAGCTCCATAGCACTGTGCATGCTTTTTGTGCAACAGACCTCAGATTCAAAGGTCCCAGGTAGGGCTGGGAAAGCTCCCAGAATGAAACTCTGAAAAGCTGCTGCCAGTCTGTGCAGAAAATACAGGCCTAGTGTAAAACAGGCAGCAACTTTTGAAGGTCATGGTCATAATTTGCATCACCTGCTACCTAAACCTTTTAAGTTAAATTGCCAGGGATTTAATATTTTAAGTGCATGCAAAAACTGCTCTGCCATTGAGTGATAGTCCCTCACAAGCAAAGACAAAGAGACAATGGTTTTCTCCATGCATCTTTACATGTTAGAATTCCATGTTCAGGGAATTTATCACTTTGGAAATCCTACATCTGCAGCCTGGAATAGTACCTTCCTAGAAGGATTGGACAGTGTGCTATTTCTACACAAGTGAATGTGTCTTCAGGATTCTGTGTTAACAAAGAGCGTTTTTACCCTGCCTGAAGTAAGTCACCTTCCCTGAGCAGCCACTAGGAAAGCTCTCTTCATGAAACTACCTTATCTTGAAGAGCTAATATTATTAATAATAATAATCCTTAATGAAAATTGCTAAGAGAGAGAAAGCATTGTTCTGCCAGAAGGTGGCAGAAGTAAAATAGGCATGCATTGGCACTGTTACCTGGAACAAGGGCTCACAGTTGGAAAGGCTGTGAATCAAACCAAATAAATGAAATTTTGATTCTTGCATTATTTCTACTTAAAGCATTTGTTTCATACTTTTGTCCCCAATAAACTTTCTAGATCTGGCCACTTTACTGAAGGATGATCTGAAATTAATGCTCCTGAATGATGGTACTTTGTTGTACACATTTGAACTATTTCTTGGTTGGATCTGATCATTCTTCTAAGAAAGCAGGTTGAAGATATAGGCAATGCGCATTGCTCCATGTATCTTTTCTGACTTAACTCAATGCTTTCTGACTCAACTCTTTTCTAGTTGAGAAAGGGTGTAACAGAAGAACTGTTGACAGAAGGGAGCAACTCAACAAAAATCCCATGTCATTTGAGTCCTAGTTAGCCCATTATCAGTGTAATGACATGTACTAGCACAAGGATAGTGGGTTTTGTGAAGTTTCTCAAATATAATAAATCACACAATCCAAGTAAGATTTTCCAGATTTTTGTCTTGTATTGTAATACCTGATTTTAATCATTCCTAAAATAAGGATGAACTGTTTTGATATGCCAAACTTTTTAAGGGAAAAAATTAAGGAATACTGAAAGGGCAGGGGATGATGTTGAGTTGTCTTCAGTATATTTTGTACAAATATTTTTCAAATAATCTGAATTTCAAAAAATAATAGCATCATTTTTATGCTCCTTATTTGTCTTCATGGACTCTCTTTCAAGTGGAATGAAGGACTACTGATGGATTTTAAAGCTAGCAACCCAACGGCTAGCTGCCATTGCTGTTTCATGATTTTCAACTATAAATAAATAAATAAATAAATAAATATCAAATGAGAGCTAACAACCTCACCAACTTACCTTTACCTAATTTTCACTGTTGTAACCTAAGTTTCCACGGAAACAGGGTTGAAAAAGCCGCCAGTTACCAGCAGGCAGCCAGCAGCTGAGAGTGAGAACTCTCCTTTGTCACTTTCCACTAGTGGATGCATGCTGAGTCCTGAAAGTACCAGTTTGCAAAGCCACCTAGGTTTCTATAATGTGCACCCCTTTATAGTTTAAATGGGATGAGCAAGTGTGTGTGTGTGTGCGTGTGTGGGCACACACATGTGTGTACAGATAGATAGATAGATAGATACACATGCGCGCACACACATTGGAAGTGGGTTGAGGAGGTGATTAAATTGACCTACTGTTTTTCTCCTTGGATTGGTACAATTCATGCCAGGACTGTAAATGGGTGAATGAGTTCTGAATTATTTGGTTAGTCAGATATTCTACACGATTGTAAATATCAGTGGCAGGTAACTTTTTTTTTTTAAATGCATTCTATATCTTTATAAAGATAATTGTAGGTATGTTTATTGAAAAAAGGGTGTCGTGATGTTGTTTGCATGACAACTTTTTGTCTTCCATGTATATGACACATGTTGTTGAAAAGTAAGAATCATCCTTCCAACAAGGCTAGTGTAAGAAAAATGTAAACAGAAATTGAAATGTATAGCTTTTGCAGATGGCTTTTAACAAGGAATAGTTTATTCTAACAGAAGAATTAACTTTCACCATATAGAAAGAGAGATTTACAAAGTGGCAAGTACATCTTTGTCCTTATGTATTGCTGTGACTGAATCTAAATGGTCTACTTTGTTAACAAACCAAACAATGAAAACAATAAATGGTATGTAAGAGTAAGAAATATAGACAGGATGTATACACATGTGCACCCGTGCGTGCGCGCACACGCACACACACAAATTCTGACTCTGATTATACTCTATATATATGCACACACACATATACATATGCTGAACTTAACAGATCAAAGAAATAACACATTTAGGATAGAAGATATGTTGACAGTGTCAGCACTGGTGTATTTTGAAGATTGTCTAAATCAAGATAGTTGGCATGGAATTTAAGCTTGGGCTTTTTTTTTTCACCTTTTCCCTCCTCCCTTCATGCAAAGGAAAATAGTTGCTTCACTAATGAGGAACTCAACTGACTTGTCTGCTGGATACAACAGAGAGGCAAGGAGGCAATGCCCTTTCAGTTTGTAAATGTGTGTTGCAGTTCAATAAGCCACACTTTGATTTCACTATATTCCTGTGCAATGAATATACAGATATAAAAGACCAAAACTTGTAGGTCTATTGTGTATATTAGTTCTTAATGATCCACTTATGAACATCTTTTTAGCTGCCTTTCTCTATATAAATATATAATTTCTTTGATTCAAGATCTGGACCAGAAAGGAGATGTTCTATCTTCAGAATATGTATTTATGCTTTTTATAATTATCTTTATGCACTTATAACAAGAGCATTGTTCATGTCCTATGACAAAAAGTGTAAATGCTTGTCTTTTAAAAAATGCAAAAGATGAAAACATGTGAGTGTAATTTAAAAAATCTTCTCTCTCTCTCTCTCCCTCTCTCTCTCTGTAGCATTTTACGATGGGATAATGAGACAGATGTCTCTCAACTGGAAGGACATTTTGACATTGTTATGTGTGCTGACTGGTAAGTACATAAAAATCATAAAACTCGTGTTAGAAAAAATAGCTTTGCTGGAGTAATTGTACTTTGCTGCTTGCTGATGGCTAAGCAAAGTCAACAAATGAAGCACAAAGCCACCTTAACCTCAACAAATTAATATTCATCTCCATGTGACAGTTATAAGGTAGTCTTCTATCACACAGTAACTTCTACCACATTATTTCCCAAAGATTGATTTTGAGAAGCATTTCCATTTTCTGGAATTGCCTCTGTTTCATGCTTGACGTATCAGTAAATGGACGACTTAGGCAAATTGCAAATAATTATGGCTCAGTGAAGAACAGTCTGGAGAAAAGGGAGTTTATCAACACAAACAGCTCAATTAGCTTACTTCTTAGGAAAGATCTGACTATTGATATAAGCCAATATAAATTCTATGTTCCTCAGTACATCTTGGGAGAATATTTCCCCACTACCACCAATTCCTTAAATCTGATATACAAGAGTAATAATATTCATCATCTGTGTGACACTAAAATGTTGGAATTAATAGCAAATTAATTGCAGTAAAAGAAAAGAAAAACACACACACCTTTGATTGACTGACAAGTTACAAAATGTTTTGCTGTGTATATGCAAGTAACTATGTAGATTTATCTGCTTATATTATATTTTTATTCTGCTGACTTGTATAAATTTCATAATAATTTATGTGAGATTTTGAAGTGTGCTTTAAAGAGGTATTTCTGCATAATTATAATTTCATGTAAGCACACAAATTCAGCTTTGCTTAGCTGGTTATTATCATATGGGGTATGATTGAGATCTGGGACAATTTGGTTATTAACTTCTATAGGATTCAGATAGCATTCAAGATAAGAGAAAGTATATATAACCATCATGGAAGCCTTTTCTTATAAAAATAGTATTCTACAAGGTAATTCAGTCTAAATGATTTCTGAATCCAAAGAATTAAAGGAAGGGACTACTGCCCATTGTGTTTTTTAAATGTTAAATTGACTTATAAGATGCAGATGCAAACATTTTATTACTTGAAAATGCTTCTCTTAGTGAATTATTTCTGATTCTGTATAACAGTTTCTAAGAAACATTTTTCCCTTCTTCTTTTATGACTTACCAATGAATGAAATAGGGTTTCTTTTCCTATTGCACTGAATTTCTGAAAAGTTCTTTGTTCCCAAAAAGGGCAGACATGGGTTTCTAACTAATCGCTGATAATGTGCCTCAGAGATGCATCATCTGATTAAAATAAGGAGCTAAACAACACCATATGATTTCAGCAAGTAATTTAGTAAATGCCTTCCTCACCAAATATTAGAATGGATACTCCGGGTTTCATTGCACAGATGAAGTTAATGCTGGACAGGATTAGATCAGATTAAGTATGAAAGTCAGATCAGAGTGCTGGCGGACATGAGCAGGAGGGCAGCAGTCTTCTCAGAGGCTTAGACAAGGCTCGCATATGGATGTTCTCCAGATTATGTGGGTGAAGCAAGGTCTTGCCAAGAGATTTAGAGTTAAATTTGTTCTTCACACAAATATCAAAACAACCTGGCCATGCCATCTCTTATATTCCTAATACTCACACCATGTCATCCTATTTGTACTGTAGAGAATAGCTGAGGAAGGAAGATTCAAGTCAAGTTCTTCCCTACCACTCCAGTATTTCTTTTCTAATTTTTCTCCTGTTCTATGGATAATTGCTGGGCATGTGGGCAGATTTATAGCTGTCTTGTTAAAAAATAAGGCATTGTGCTTAACAGATTAATAATGATTCTTTCACTAGACATGAAATGTTCTATGGTTCCATTATCATGGAACCATAATAAATAAAAAGCAGGTTTATTAAATATATTCAGGTAAGAGTCAACTGAAGGTGACGTGTGAGATAGATAGATGGATAGATGACGTGCGTCCACAAAGTATTAATATTTTGATAGAACATGGTAAAATACAAGCATACTTATGTTTAATAACCAAACAAGTTTTGTGTTTGTTTTTCTATAGAAATGATAATTGTTTACAATTGCCTGAGCTACATTATGATATTTTCTGCATTTTTCAATATGCACTTTTTTAAAAATAACAATGCTGAAAGCTACTTTAGCTTGGAATAGTTGTAGTGAAGAAATTCCATAAATGTGCTGAGATAAAAACAATGGGTTTGCAACATCAGTTTGACATTATCAAGATCACTGCCAGTCATTAAGTTCTAGAAGTAGAAAACATCAGAAATCTGAGATCAAATATGTAGTAAAATCACAAAGTTTTGTAACACTGTATCCAGTAAAGGCGGCATTCTGTGTTACTCTGAATAGCTAAACACTGACACTTCTTGATCAAATTTCCAGGAAACAAGCTCCATTCATAAACATGTTTCAAACACATACTGCGATTCAGCTAAAAATATACATGATTATAATGAGCAGTGCTAGGCTAAAACTCTTAAATCATCCATATGTTTGCACTCAGTCAATCAAACACCTTGTGTGCAGGGGTGGAGAATATATAAATAGAATGGATTACTATATATCTAAATGTAACAGATCACTTAGGTTATAGAATAAATATGAGGTAAATGCTGGTCATTGGTTAGCAACTGGAAATCACAAGCTGGGTGTTGACAATTCAAAACAAAAACAAAAACCCTGTTTCATCATGGAGCAATACCTGAATAGAGACTTTTCATGTCAAGTGTTAAGGACAAGATGAAAGTTGTTCTGTGCAGGTGTTGTATACTTGCCATAAAGGGAAAAAAGACAGTAGGGTGGAAGGCCTATTAGTCTATAAGAAAAGTTCGCATGTTCACTTTAAAAACAAGCTAACACCAGAGATATATGGTTGTTGGAAGGAAATTATCCTTGTTTAGAACTTGACACAGTTAATTCTAACTTTGTAGCCATAATCAATCCATGGGAAACCTACACCTCACATCCGAATTTACCTATGTCAGCTCATAGACTGACTTAACTGTAGTAGTCTGAGGTAGTCTACATCACTGCAGCTATGGCATGCTTATGTGTCTGAAAATTGGGAAAGTATTCACTGCTTTGCTTAACAGATGGACCCATTTTCTCCCCCTTTTGGGTTATGGCAGTTATACATTTACACCACCCTGGCTGATAGAATCTCAGCAGATCTTTGTGCAGAGGGGGCAAGATTGTCAGAGTGGCCTTTTTTGCCCCAGAGCCGTACCACACAGTACTAACCAAGATAGCTGTCATGCCATTGCTGGGAGTTAGCCTAGCATGATCCAAAGTAACAGGCACTTGTGATTTTTGACAACTTAGTACAAGATTTCATGTCATATAAATAAGCATCCTTAGCAGTGTGTGTTACAAGCCTTGCTTCCATGTAACAGCCAATGTACTGGCTTCTAAGAATAGGACAGACACTGCCTCCTTAGTTGTGACAGAGGCATATGAGGAGCTTTTTAAAAATGGAGCACACCGGACAACAATAGGTGGAAGGGTCAGCTTTAAAGATATTGCAAACAAAAGACAAGGATATCCTGCTTTACAAAGAACACTGTAGTCTGAGTGGCAAGGATAAATTTGTGTGTAGAGGAGAGATAATCAATTGAGTTTTACTGAAGAAAGTATCCCTATCCTTGATTTTTGTGTGGATGGCAGGTACCCATTTACTGCAGGCATCAGCCTATCCATCTGCTGATAGATGTAGCCTCAGGACAAGTATGTGTGAATCCTTTTTCTGATTTGCTTTCAAAGCTGTCATTGAAATAGTCACCGACTGCATATTCTCAGGGAAGGCCATGCTACCAAGACTGTATAAAGCACCTTGTCGCATTTTAGAGTAATCCCATATTGTCCATTTAGTTTTCCTACTTATTTTCAGTTTCTGCAAAAATCTGATGGTCTGGAAATTTCCCTCCCCCAGTGATAAATGTGTTTCAGCGCACTGCAGCTTTGCTGTTTACTGAAGCTGTGCAAAACTGTAAATGGCAATGAAGAGTGAATGACTGGAAATCATGTCTGAAGCATCAGCCATAAAATGTGATACTTGGCTGTCACATTACATGCAAAATAAAAAGATTTGACATGATAGCTTATAAAATATAAACATGTAGCTATGCTTCAGAGATGCTTGTAATAGTTCACAGACAATAGTACAAGTATGTGGCATTATATGGATAGTGTCACATTTTTTTCATCTCCCAGTCACTGCCTTTTCTAGACAGCCTGGCTCTGCAGTTTCAGTGGACAACTGGCATATCTCCTCCAGAGCACCTCTGCACGAATCTGTCTCAGCAATCTTCATGCACCTTTTACTTGGGGGAGATATAGAGTTGCGAAGATTTGGTAGAGTCACTGGAGAAGCTGTTCTGATATTCCTTAAGCGGCCTTTCTGGCTGAAATATTCTTGAGAACAGAAGCCTCTGGGAAGCTTGCAAGCAGGAAATGAAGAAACAGTGAGCTCCTGTTGTTGTTCCCCACCAGCTGGTAATTCAGAGGCATCCTGCCTCCCTTCCAGTTTTCAAAACTGGGGCATGTCAGAACCTTAGATTTACAAGTGTGTGGGAGAAGATGAAATCTACATGTCTTTGTTAATTAAGAGCTTGAGGAGATGGCAGCTTCCTTGCAGCTGATGCTACACTTAACTAGAAATAAGGGATGAGGTTCTGCAAGTAATAGTTGTCCTGAAGTGTAATGAAACAGGCTCTGTTTGAACAATATTATTTTGCTGGTCTTCAATACTACATTTTGGCTAGCAGGCACTGACAAAATTTATTTATTGCATTTGTAGGTAGCCCCATAGCCAGAGGCTCTCTGGGCAGCTCACAGCACAATCATAAAAATACAGATAAAAATGAATAATAACTAAGACCATAGAACATAATAGAATAAAATACAAGATGAGGAAATAAACACAATGCAACCAATTAAACAACTATCAATAAAACAATAAACCAGCAGCAAGACAAATAGTCATAATGTAAAAACAGATACTAAATAAAAAAGTCTTAACTTGGTGCCAAAGCAGGGTAAAGTGGATGCCAGCTACACCTCCCCTGGAAGGGAATTCCAAAGGTGAGGTGCGATGACAGAGAAGGCCCCTTTCCTTGCCAATGCCCCCTCACCTCATGGAGAGGGAGGTTCATGAAGAAGGCCTTCCCTTGATGACCGTCTGATAGGGACATGGAAACAGGTGTTCCTTTAGATATCCCAGTCCCAAGCTGTTTAAAGCTTTATATGTTAGTGTAAGCACTTTGATTTGGGGCCCGGCAATGACAGGCAGTCAATGCAATTGGCAGAGGACCAGCGTGATATATTCTTTAGGGTGCAGTGCCCATGTGGATTGCAAATCCAAGCATGCTAAATAGTTGCTTCTGCTTCTGCCCCTTGGAAAATTCTATATTTGAATGTAGCTTGGGTTTCCAGGAGCTAAAAGTAGAGTCTATTCACCTACCACATAAATTCCTCACAGGGTTGTTGTTGCAGACATAAGATTGAGAGCATGAAGAGAACAATGTAAGCTGCTTTGAGTTCCTTGAATGAAGGCAGGGGATACATCTTATACATTTTATGTATGTATTTTTATACTGCCCAATAGCTGAGGCTCTCTGGGCAGTTAACAAAGTTAAAAACACAACATGCGAAAAAAAAAGAGAAAAAATAACATAAGATAAAACCACAGCAATTGCAAATGAATCAGCACAAAGATATAGCAGTGGTACAGGATAAAATGCAATATTAAATTTGAAGTTTAAAATACTAAAATACTGGGAAAATAAAAAGATGTTCACCTGGCACCAAAAAGAATACAGAGTAAGCACCTTTTTGAGGATCTAATTCTATAGCTGGAGTGCCATAGCCAAAAAGGCCCATCTCCTGGTGGCTGTTCTCCACCGTTGCAAGGGGCTCCCAGAGAAGGACCTCCAAGATGACCTTAGGTACTTACCGGATAGGTAGGTATAATAAACAAACAAACAAACAAACAAACTCATGCTACTTTGAGCATGGATGTATGGACTTGGTTAGATCTGTTCTCTCTGTGTATCACAGATTGTTAAATGCTCTTCATTCATCATCTGCCTGTTAGCAGAATCAGATTTTCATACTTTTGTGGAAATAAGCATTTTGCAAATTTGCACTTTCAGTTGTGGTTTCCTTATTATTTTGCTATGACTAAATGTGCTTAAAATTATGAAAAAAATGCACAGCAAGTTTGTGAAATCTTGCAACTTGGGAAAAACTGGTGCACTGTGGAATACGAGAGGATTCATAAAAAAAATCCATCTTATTTGAATCTGTTGCAGATCTAACTTACATCCTTAGCATAGGGATTGGGTTCCTTGCTGCTGGAGAAGATGCTTCAGAGGATATAGGAACAGATTCTGAGTCAGATGAGGAAGAGGAGAGGAATTCCTAGCCAAGGTCCCAAGTTCAGTTGACTCAGAGATAAGCTGGAAGTAGCAGAAAAGCAGCTAGTTTCAGAAAGCATGGGAAGATACAGTAACATGTTAATGAGGAGGAAGGTGCAACAGCCATAACTAATCCCAGGGTCAGATGTCAGTTAAAGAGGGTGGATCATCTGAGAAGTGCCACATGTTCTAAGTGATTGGTCCTCAAGCAAGAGGATTCACCTTAAAGGTAGAGTATTGGTCATATGAGGTAGGGAGAGAAGAGAGACCCTTAGTTTGAAACCAACTTTGTAGCATTGAGGACACACTTAATGGCTCATTCACCTAAAACTCTGACTACATTTGCTCCTTTTGTTACTGACTTCTGTAATATATTCAGCTTGTATTTTAAAGCCTCCCTTGCTGGTTTCCATTCCCACAGTAAAGCTTTAGTTGGAATGTCTTTGTGTCTGCCTGTGGAAGAAGAGGGAGAAGAACCACTGATAGGCATTGTGGTTGGGAGTAGGATCACAGGAGCAAGGAAGTGGAGGATCCAGCCCAACGAACGATCTGCTTTGCCTTTTAGCACAGCTTCCACAACAGGCTAGAAGCAAGATGGTAACACTAGTTCTGGTGCCAGTCCTGCTGTACTTCTTAGGTAAAAGGTAGTTCTACTTCAGAAAAATGAGATGAGATGAGATAACATGTACAAGAAAGCCCTCTCCCATAATACCAAACCTGACATCTACAAGGAACAGGGTCTTTTCAATGCTGATGCCCTGTAGTGTAAAAATGCCTGCCTGAAATGTCTAAGAGCTGGACAAATGTTGTCTATCAAAGATGACATGAACAACTAATAATGCATATATTTTGTAAGGCCTTTGAGATAGTTGGGAAATAATCTATTATGATGCTGCTCATTTGTTTTATCTATCGCTCCCTCCTGGTGTCTTATTTCATTTTAAGTATGTTTTAATTGTGTTTGATAGTAACCATGTATGGAGAGCTCAAAGCTGGCACAGTTCTTTTAGAAATAAAGTCCACTAAAATTCTTCTCAACTAGGAGGAGGGACTCTGTGGTGGTATTATAGGTTTTAATTGTGCAGCCGGGGTGTTTCCGGATTTTAACTGTATTTGTACTATATTTATTTATTTGTGTGAGCCATCCCGAGACTATATAACAAGGGGACGGCATACAAAAAACTTTAAATAAATAAATATTCATTTGTCTTCCATAAGAACATGTGAAATGCTATCACTGAATATTGAATTCATCCTTATTTCTGATATCCAGGCTACTAAAATAAAAGCTGGTAATCATTGACCATTCATTCATTTTGCATAGAGAAACATTTTCAGCTGACCTCCAGCTTGAGGTTCAGACAAAAATGGTTACAAGCTTCAGAGTCTGTTTTTTGTTTGTTTAAAAGTGCATGAACTGAAAGGAATTTAGACCTCAATTTCTCCTTCACAGAAATGTGTAAACATATGTAATTAGCCTTGTACTTATCTGCATTAGTATCATTAGAACTGAAACCCCTTTTTAATCTGGATTCTGTTCTCTTCTCAATGTCAGCCTGTTTCTGGACCAGTACAGAGCTAGCCTTGTGGATGCAATAAAGAGATTACTCCAACCTAGTGTAAGTATGTTTCTATTTTCTCCTGAACACGGGCTTCAGAATAATTAGTCTGTGCACAATGATTGAGAGAGTAATGGAATGGCAGGATTAATGTCATGTAATACTTTAATACTTATTATGTCCAACTTCAATTGAGTCTTCTAATCTATCAGATTCCTTCCTAATCATAAACTAGGAAACTTCTTATACTTGGCCTTCTGATAAGGAACACAGTGGGTAGTAAAATAAATGAAACTGCTTCAAAGATAGTGTGAGATTATTTTTATCAAAGCGTTTCTTGAGTATTTTCCTTTGATAACAATGTCTTCATATTAAAGTAAAATTCTGATATTGGAAGTTTTTATGTTGGCTTCTGTCATTTGTAATCCCTTCAATGGTAACCTTTGTCATTGTGTATTTATTTATTGCAAAGTACCATTTTATTCCTTTCATTGCTGCTTATATTAAGTGAATAAAATCCTCAGACTGATCCATAGCCTAAAACTCTGCTGCTTTTGTTTTCCTTTCTCCCTTTCTCTCTTTAACCCCCCCACCCCCACCCCAAAATAAGCTGCATATTTACAGATTAGAGATGGAAGGGCACCATAAATAAAACAATGGGTGAAATCCATTATATATGCAGGCTTGGATGGAGAACATATATGATATTGGGCTGATGCTTGTTATAGGCAAAGCTAACCTGGCACAGAAAAAATAAAACAAACAACTAATACATTACCTTCAGATGCCCACCCAATAAACTTAGCACCCATATCTACATAAATTGCCAATACCAAATGGTTTTCATGGGTAGTAACAATATTTAGAGACAACTTGTGAAACACTTGAGCAAATAAGTTGAATGTGAAATACAGAAAAATCAATCTATTCTTTAAAAAAATTCTACTTACCCAACAACAAAGTACTTGCAAGAATAAAGATGATTTAACATCGCCAGAAATCCGCTTTTGGAGGAGGGTCTCAACAACTGCAATGCAAGACCTGCATTTTGTAAATAGGGGCACTGATCTCATATCATTCATGAGCACTTCCAGCTTCTCATACTTGAATAGGATGGGCATGGATCCAACTCACCTGGATGAGCTGAAAAGTCCAAACATAAGTAGTCTGTTTCAGAGAAAGTGGAGACAAGGGGGAAAGTATTGGAAGTACATTCATCCTGAAGAAGCAAGGCATTGCCAGGGTAGGACCTCTGTTGTTCCTTACAAGCACTTCTTCTTTTCTTTCCCCATTTGAATGGGAAAATTCTTCTCCATGTATGATGATGACTGCTCCCTAAAACACTACAGATGTAGGCTGCATTCCACTACACACTTCTCTGGGAGTAAGTTCCATTTAACCTAGTTGGATTTACTTCTCAGTAAACATGCACCATTGATTTGTTTTCTCAACACTTCACCTTGCTACAATTACTAGGACTCTTTAAAGGAAGAGCACATATAAGTTTGCATTATGGATATGACCTTGATTTCAAGGTTCTGTGGACTGAGAAGTTTTATACTTGACCTGTCAGTGCCTTTGGAAATCCCCTAAAGATCTTGAGAACTTTGGAGCATTAAAAAGGTAAAGGTTTCCCCTTGACGTTAAGTCTAGTCATGCCTGACTCTCGGGGGCGGTGCTCATCTCCGTTTCCTAGCCGAGGGAGCCAGCGTTTGTCCGCAGTCTCCATGGTCATGTGGCCGGCATGACTAAACACCGAGGTGCACGGAACGCTGTTACCTTCCCATCGAAGTGGTACCTTTTTATCTACTTGCCTTTGCATGCTTTCGAACTGCAAGGTCAGAGCGTTAGACAATATTTAGTGCTATCCTTGAGTTAGTAGAAATAATCAGTAGTGCAATGGGAAGCCAGTGTTTGAAAACACAAGCTGGAAACCAGCCCAGACAAGCACTTATAAAATGGAACGCGTCAGTGATGTTTTCATAAGGGAGCTCCACTTTCTAGTCTCGCTCTGGAAGAGCTAGTTTGAGCTAGTGTCCAGGGCTGTGCTATGAAGTGTCACACTAGCAGTTGCTCCTGACCATGCAAGGTGATTGGAGCCTGTGACTATTGCCCGTGAGCCTCCTAAACACTTTCTAGTAAGCCATTTATCTTTGCTTTCAGTCCTCATCTGTGCTCTGAGAATGAATGGGATCCCAATGTTACATTCCTCCCTGGTATCTGATACTTGGAATTACCTTTTGCCAAACAATTTTTTCCACTATCTGAGTAAAAATGATGTCAGAGTGGAAGAGGACAGAATGACAGAGTGATTTTCTTCACATTTAAATTCTAGCTTGAATAAGATTTTGGCCTCTGTGTTTTACAACTTGTATTTCCATGTATCTGAGAGTGTACCAAAATGCATTAGTTACATTGTAAGCTCATGCTTAATTCATATTACACAGTTGCCTCTAGGTCTCCTCAACATCTTGATTTTTCAGCATTGTCTGTTAAGTACAAATCTATCCCTCACCATTTTCCTCCTAGATAATTGTGTTTTTCCTAAATGAGTTTCATTTTGCCATTGTACTTTTCTCTCCCGTTGTACTTGTTTCTTCCAATACCTGAAGTGGAGGATGTTTAGTGTTTGTTGTGAACTCTCTTTGGGGACAGTCTGTTGATAGTATTTGTGTCATTGCCTCCATTTCTTGATTAATAGTCTTGATTTTCAAATATTTCTCAATATTCAATTCCATAAGAAAATGATAGTAAAAGGGAGCCAGTTCATTCTTGTAGTACTAGCAATAATGCAGAAAATCCAATCATTTGGCAAGGTCAGTGTTGATAGACACGCCAAACCAGAATGGGTAGCCAAACTAAACTTGAAAACCAGATCCAGGGGAAGTGGCCAGGCCTCGTTTACCTGGAGGATCATTTTTATATCAATTTGAACATCATTATTACTGAATGGTGTTATAAGGTAGTAGTTTTCAAACTTCACAGCTTTAGATAAAGCTTTCCATGTTAATTCTATCTGTCATAGAACCAATAGATTTTGCAGAGTATTTGGGTAGATCTTCAAGGGCGCACTCAGAACATGGAGGGGGCTAGCCAGGCCTGTTGGGTCACAGTTCTGCCTGGCATAACCTGAGAGCATCCTCTAGTGGAAACTCCATAATGATAGCAAGCCGTATTTCTGGATATTTACTAGCCATTGAGCGATCCCAGGCTTCTTTCAAACATTTTTGAAAAACCTCAGCTACACAGTATTCCATACCATCAGGCGGAAGATGGTTGCCCTTGAAGTCGCCCAAAAGCAACACCTAATCAGCAAACAGAGCAAGATACACAGGTCATCTGGTCAAAGTATTCCACACTCTGGTGCGAATACTGTATTTATATATAAGTTGTATTAGATAAATATGCATCTGAACACATTAACTTGTATTTGCAAATTTTATGCAATTGATATCCTCTCTATCCCCCTTTTTGCCAATTTATGAGTAGCCACTCTACCAGCTCCATTCTACCATATAGCGGATGTCCCAAGAAACCCACTATCCCCTGGAAAAGTTTTATAGGCGATTATAGGGGGAAGTGTGCAGTACGGTACATTGCATAAAACCATCTTAAATGTTATATGGGAAATAAAACATAAATATGACTAAACTTTCCATTCAATGTGTGTAGCAGTAATGATTCTATTGTATTTAATGCATGTAACAAATTATTAAAATGGATAAAATCCATAAAATATAAATAAAATTTAATGCATTTATTACATTTAGGAGAAAATATTCATGAAATGTTGCATTATGAGTTTCTGTGGACAAGCAGCTACATCTTCATCCCTTTTCCAACAAAACAATGAGTGCTGCAATAAACATCTCAGTTTTGATAGTTTTATGCTATAGATGATTTATATACAATTTTAAATGAAATGTTTAAACATGCTTCTTGATTTTCTAGGGGAAAGCAATGATTTTTGCTCCGCTCAGAGGGAATACTCTAAACCAGTTTTGCAATCTAGCTGAAAAAGCTGGTTTCTCTATCCAAAGACATGAAAATTATGATGAACACATTTCAAACTTCCACTCCAAGGTTAGTTTTCTGCTCATGTTAGATAACACTTTAATCCGCATTGCATTTTGAAGAGATCATGGTCCTTTTGGCAGGTAACCTAAATGTTTGATTAAAGTACTCTTAGGTATGCTGCTTCTAAATAGCTATTTTTTTGTATCTGATTATTCTGTGTGAAAGAACTATCCTTTATCTTTGCATGTCTAGAAGAGCTTTATGGAAGCTTCTCATGTTTACCATTTCCTCAGAACTAATCTGTTCATTCATAAGAGTCTAATTCAAAACATTCAGATGTTTAATTTAGCTCATCTTAAACACATCTATGGCAGCATGCACATACATTCTAAGCTGAAAGCTTGGAGCTTTTAACTCCATTAAATACTGAAATATGGAAATAAATAGGAGGCAAGTATCTAATTGTATCATAGTGTGGTTTAAAATCCCTATCTGTTTATAGTTGGGTCAGTTGGCAGCTTCAAGCTGCTCCACCTCATAGAGAATTCTACAGTTCTGGGGTTATATGTTGGATCTAGCTACCCTAAGGCTGAGGTCAAAGTCACTTACCTGAATCTGATTTCTAAGCTTGCTTACACAAACAACTGCAATCATTTTCTTGTATTGTGCAGAGTTGCAGAAGTTTACGGAAATTTTTTTGGGAAGTCTCTTATTTTTCCCTGTTCAACTGTTCCACTGATAATGACAAAGTTAATTTACTGAAGGAGAGGTTTAGTTCACCATACAACAAACACTGAAACCTGGATTCCACCAGAGCCACAAGCTTCCCTTTTATTTTCCCTCTTATCCATGTCAGTGGCTGTGACTGACTCCATAAAGAGCTGGCTGGAGTGTCTTAAAGGCCTGCTATCACAATCCATGAACAGGAGCTGCAAGAGGTGTTCTGATTCTTAGTTCTGCAATGTTGTACACATTACAAACCATGCCTTGTAAAGGGGGTTATGTATGAGTTGGCTACTGTAGTGCTGCAACCATGACAAGACGACATATGCCTGAATGAGGAGTTGCTTTCACCATTTACTCTTCCTCTAGTCATACTCTAGAAAGCATGGGTGGAGCTGGTCACGTAACAGTATGAGTTTTCATGGTGCTTGCTGGTAGGCCAGGTTCTGAGAACAGAATGTCTATGAGAAAAAGCTAAAACGCATGGGATTTTTCATTTGTAAGAAAGCAGCATGTAATGCTAAAACTTGGGTTCTTCCAATGAAAGCAGTTGTCAACACACCCAAAACAGAAAAAAGAACTTCTTTACACAATGCACAATACATTTTTGTAATCTATCACCCCAAGGTATGGTGAAGGCTACTAGCCATGTCTGTCAATGACAGACAAAATAACTGAAAAGAATTTCCAGGTCCAGAAGTAGTATTTCTGAATACCAGTTGTTAGGAGGTTACTTGGAAGCATCCTGCAGACCTTTGTTGAAACTACAGTGGTGAACTAAGGGATGACTTCTCAGCCTTTTCATGTTATGTTCAGTGATCTACCAACTAAGAGGACTTATATAGCTAGGGACAATCATTCATGGCTGTACCCTGTATTTAATGTTTTTGCAGCTAAAAGGGCTAAGGTTTCAGCTACAAATGTACTTCACTGTCCTTGGGTGGCTTTAGTTTGTGCCTGTTTACCCCATGGGTTGAATCCAGGCTTAGCCATACTTAGAGTAGACAGGTGAAAATCCATTAAATTTAGTCATGACTAATTTAAGGTTTCTGGTTGCTGTGGTGATGATTGTGAAAGGGGCTTCTTCAAAACCCAAGGAATTTTCTGACATCCTAAACAAAATAAGATCTCTCTCTAGGGTACTCTCAAGCACACTGTGCCTAAATAGAGCTTTATTCAGTTTTTGCCGTCTCGTGTCAGATCCATAGCACCTGCAATGTTGATTGGATTGCAGGTCATGACCATTCTCTCAGCTTATGTTCTGTTTCCTGATCTTGTCATATTAACACCCATTCCTTCTGCTTCCAAGTCTCAAGGATGTGGAAGCACAGGGAATGTTTCTCTGTGCTCAGCTTTCCATTTACAGTGCTAATTCCTATTTGCATCTTCCGTTGGAACTAGGAGCTCAAGGGGTCTGGCAGTGGAGAGCAGCATACCTCTACCATGTTGAGTTGCAGACATGGTTCATGCTCTCCCTCCTTCCCTCTCTCTCTCTCTCTCTCAGTGTCAATCAGCCCTTAAGGCAACAGGAAGACGGAGCTGGCACAGAGCCTGACCTGGCAAAAGGCAATTGTTTCCCTTTCCGTACCACACATTCGGCTGCTGGCTAAGTGTTGCCCTGTCTTAAAAGACTCAAGAGGTATTTTCTGTTGAATTAAGACTGCTGGAAAAATTTGCCAAGACCATCTTTCTATTTCGAAGTGTGGTTCAGCTCTCTACAATCCAAGCAAAGCAAACGAGCTGCATATATTGATAGTGGTTACGATGTAGTTTCAGTGTTGTTTTCTTTCAACATGGTTTTATTATTTTGATGTATTATTGTTTTTATTTGAATTGTTGTACTCCAGCATGGTGGTATTTGTGGAAAGGCAGCATTTAAATGTTACTAAAAATAATAAACACAAATATAGCATATGTCAGTACACAGCAAGTAATCCTATATGGACTCATTCTGCTTTCTGTTGTCTGTAGTTAGTTTACCTTTGACCATCTTCATGTTGTGGGAGAAGTAAATAGGCAAGCTGCAGAAACAGGTTGTTTGCCTGCCACCCTTTGAGATAATCCTATTTTTAAAGCAACCTTGCACAATTATATAAGAAACAACAGAAACCCATTGTGAACTAGGTAGAAAACAGGTTTCCCTCAGAGCATGCATCCCCTTTTGTGCCGGGGGGGGGAGGGGTAATTGGTTGGGCCTGCACAACTTTTAGCACCAAGCTGAACACAACCCACCAGCTGTGTTCAGCA